GGAAAGTTCATTTACASTGAACTACTCGATTAATTGTGAAACTTTCTATCAAGCAATTATAAATGTAGCATTTCTCAGTAGTGCCATACCCTGGAGAAGTGATGCTTTATGATTTACTAGTAGTCAGCCCACTAGAAAATTGTAAACAACCAGACTCTAAACAGTTTAAATTGTTGTTCATTGCCTTTGCAGATGCAGTTTTTCTTTCAGATATTTCTACGAAACTTGCWGGCAAGCATTCAAGGCCGTTAAATAGAGGACAAGACATCATTAGGCCAGTCAATRTATCTTTATCCATAAGAAAACATTAAGGTTGTATTGCTTACAGGATATTAGAATACTGTATGAATAGAACATTTTAAATTGTTTATTAAAATGCTATAAAAAATTGAGAAAAGAAAGTAAAAGTACTTTGAAAATATAAAACATTAAATTAATTGCATTYAAATAGTCTGTTTGTATTAATTTTTCACTGTAGGTTCTCACATACATAGAAAACAGATTATTCTTTATCATTCCCTTGTTCCAAAAGGATTACAAATATATCAGGTGGTTTTAAACACTACAAGTCTCAGAGAATTTACAAGCCAAACAAAAACATCATCTCATTTTCAGTGGCTATGCAGATGATGGGATTTCTTCCCCATAGACAATTCACTTCGATATAAGAGAGATGTGTCCATATGCAGTAAAGTCCTATTTTGTTTGTAGCATTTCATTGTAGTTTGCTGTTTAATGATGATAATTTTAGTAACTGTGTCATTACTTGTCATGGTCATCTCTTGTGTAACACCTGACCACATGCCATTGCCTCTTCAAAGGTCTGTAGTGTTGGAATCTTCCTCGTTTATGTAAAAAAAAAATACTAAAAAAAAAAAAGTACCTTAGGTGACTTCAGGTATCTCCAAATATAGTTTCCGTTGGGTCATTCCACCTCTTGAGTGCAAACATTAAATAGACTTTTATTCAGCCTTATTTTATATTGCTTTTTAATGAAGTTCTTTAGGGCAGARGTGTATTGTTCCAAATTGTTCAGTTACTCATGGAAATGGCTTAGATCAGACTTTTGCTAATGGAGATGTGACTTTATGGCTTGTATAATGATTTTTCAGTTTTGTATTTCTGAGTTTGCTGAATTAATAGTTGAGAAATGTTAACCTAGTCAGATTTTTGAAAACAACTTAAAAAAGCATTTGCCCTAAATTAAAATGTCCTTGAACTACCTGATACTTAACAAGTTCATTGTATATTTACTAATTTATGCTTCCTCGTATAAGCTTAGAGGTCTGCAGATTCAAATGGTTCTAAAACATAGCATTGAAAAAAAACCACACCAAATGTTTTGGTGTTTCAAAATATATTTAAATCAGAAATTATTAGAATTTAAGACAGAATCAATTTCTGCAAGGACTGTGTTAGTTTTATTTTCACTCAAAGTCCATTCACTTTTATCTGAGCATCAATGGATTTAAACTGAATATTCTTGGAATCCTGTATAATRAAGGGTAGAAAGATTAACTGGATGGGTGGTTGCTCTGAGATTGAATTTGATACCTGTTGAAAACATACTAATTTCTTCATGCTCAAGAATAATGAAGCGTAGTTCCTTAAGCATATATTAAATACTAGTTCTATCATTTACTGAAAGCAAAACTACATTACCCAAGTAAGTTTGCTTACTAAATGAAGTGGAAGAACACCAATAGCTGAGGGTATAGTTATCATCAGAGAGCTTATGCTAAGCAGAATTAGGACMTTCCCAAGGAAAACAGTCCTCTCTGCTATATCTTGCATTCTACTTGTTTGTCTTAGACTCCAGTGCCAAAGCTATCCAAAGTAGTGTCTGTAGCTGTCACCGCTTCCCTTAGCTCAATGTCGATCCTAAGTTGTGCCTTGTTTTGTCYTCAGAGCTGTGTCCTTTCCTTTTTACTGCCTTCCCATTAACCTCTCCCTGTCCATGAATTTGCAGTCCAACAGATTTAGAAAGACCCTTCCCTGGCTGAGTGATGCCTAAGGGCTCAAAAGTTAATTCCAGAAGTTATTGGAATCTATTAATGTAGCATAAAACTGTTCAAATATGTTGTACCAAATTTGTATTGAAGAAACTAGAAAAGAAAATTATATGTTTTGTTATTGGTGTCTCTCCAATACAGACAAAAGTTTTGTGTTCAAGTTTTATGTGTGCTTGGGTAGGATTTTTTTTTTTAAAGAAATTGAATTAGCGAGAATATTCTGGATGGGTTTATTAGTTAAAGCAGAGCTTTACTCAAAATTTTTCCATATTTTATTAAAGTATCATCGCTATTCACTTTTTTATTACCCTTTCTATAGCTTATATATGTATATATTTCTATATTATATAAAAACACATTTTTATATATTATATTTATATTATATTTTATATTAACCTATTATACATTATATATTTTTAATAAATATATATGAATTCTTTTATGTATATATTTAAATGTACATTTACATAGTATACACTCTGAATGTGCTTTAACATATAGTTAAGGGACAGTGAAAGTCACACCTGTGATTTACTGCTACAATTTTTGTACCTTCACACTGATGACACCTCACTTTTGTTGCATCATGTGTGCAGACACCATGGCAGATTTGTGATGTTGGTTTTGAAATCTGAAGGCTACTGCTGCTAATGGGAYTGAAATCAATTAGTCTACTAAATATTAGTCCTTATGAATGCAGTCATCTGTCTCCATATTTAACAGTACAAATGGACCTTTCATTACTGTTCTTACTTATCTTCCTAAGTGACTTTTAAASCCATTAAGGAATAATTCAGCAGAATCCTCTTAGTGTATTACAACTGATAATAATTCCTTTATAATGACTCTGATCAAAAGGGAAGGGATTGGTTGTATCACCTACTTCTAGCAGTGCTCTTTTATTTTTCTATAAAATTGGACATGTAGCAAAGACTGAGGGAAGCCCACAATTGCTTCCCTTTTTCCCAGAACAGCTGTACTACAGTAGCATTGCAGTCCCCAGACTTCTGCTTGAGGTCTTTTACATCTTGCCTTTTTTTTTTTTTTTTTTTTTTTTTTTCCCTGAATAGGTAGTTTGGTGATATCCTTGGAAACAATGGAGGAGAAAGTATTTTTTTTTTTCAGATCTATCAAGAAGTTACTATTTATTTCTGGGTTTAGTCTAACATAGGTAGCAGTTCTATTAAATTTTTGCARTATCTTCACTGATCTGATAAAATAAGCATTTGCCTCTATATTCGAAGAGATTCACACCAGTCTGATACAAATAATTCCCATTTTTATTAATCCATTAGTTTGTGTACAGCAATAATCTGAGCTGTGAGTGCATCATTGCCATCTTCATCAGAGCTTMTACTGTTTGTAGTTCTTGAGACAGATTTGGAAGTAAGTTGACATTTTCTGATTGTGCTGTCTCTGCAATATTKTGCTTTCAGTAAGTGGCAAGTGAGCCTTCTCTTAGCTTCATACTTGAATATTTGCCTGAGTACTAAAAAGTACAGATTTCTAGATTAATAACTTGGGCAATATTTTTCCTTCCAGGCTGCMTGAAGTAATATTTTTCTATTTGCATGAAGCAGAGCTAGGAAAATGATGAGGCTGGGAAAATGGGACAGATTATCTTATGTTTTTCTATTTGGTAAACATTGAAGTACCATATATAGAAAAAAATATTTTCTTTTTGGTTTCAGAGATGTAGCTAGCATGTCTCCACARAGTKTACAGTTACWCKAAGAAATTTAATTGAATTTGAGCCYTTTGTCAAAGCTGTGTTGCAAWCTCAAATATCTGTTTAACTGATGAATTAAAAATATTCTCTTACTTTTTCACCTCTCATCATGCCATCCCTCACATTCTACCTGACATCTGTTCCCTAATCTATTGCATTTACATAGTTCAACATCAGTTTTTGCAGTTATTGGAAATAAGCAATGCAGTTGTCCTTGAGGTAATACTGCTGAAAWACTAATGTATATGTTTCAGAAGCAAATGTACAAGACTGCTGTTTATAAAAATATGGTACCACCAAAATGGTAGCATAGGACCTAAAAAGTGAGTCTGTGACGTGAAATAAATTCCCGATCTGTTGAAATTTCCCTACTGTTTTTATTACTGCTTTCCAACCAGCAGTCCTGAGGCTATAGTGAGAGGTAAATAAAGAAATGAGGCTTGGAGTAGCCTCCTGGATGATTTATTACTCCTTGATGCTTATTACAACATAAAACTTTGTGTGAAACTCCATTTCTTTCCTTACATGTGAGTTTGGCTTTTGCTTCTGGGTGTAAAGGCCATAGATGAGAGTGAGCAGACCCTTCCTCTGTCAGTGCTCTGTGTGCCCTAAGGAAGCCCTCACCATGCTCATTGTTGCACTAGAAATGCCACCAGCCCCTGCTCTTGAGTACCAGATTCAATATTCCTACTGTCCACTTCCTTCCAGGAAGGACTGGACTCTGGGCATTCCTGCCATCTTCTTGGTGGTCTTTGTGGTCTGACAAGTTTTGGTCTTRGCATAGTACACTCAGATATTTACCTTTGTCTCAGGCAGGATATGCTCTTTGTGGCTTTTTGTGCTTTTTTTAGTCTTCCTATTATCTTACAGGGGGAGGGTATAAGTTATTCATGCTCACTAAATAAAAAAAAAATCATTTGGGATAATCTTTTCAGGAAAAACATTCACAATTCAGTACATCTCAAGAAAAATGTTATGTGCTATACAGATATTTGATGTTTAATTTTGTTTGCCCAAATTAATTTACAACCTACTTCATATTTTTCAGCTTTACTTCAAGTTACAATTTCMCTTAGCAAAGTTGAGCTCAGTGTGGGTGAATCCAAGTTCTTCACATGCACAGGTATGTACTAATTTTATTTGTAGGTATATAATTTTTGTTAAATTTTGAACTTTCTGTGTATTTGTAACTGAAATAGGTGATTCACAGTATTAAATGAACATATTGTTGTATATTCACATTGAATTGTGAGAACTGTGGTAAATAGTAGAGCTTCACCGGCTTCACATTTCCAGTCTAGAATCTCTTCATTTCACACGCTGAATCAGTTTGAATTCTCTGTATCTGTACAGGTAGTTTATATCTATTAGGATGCTTTTTTATTTAAAATACTTTTGCTTATCTAAACTAAGGAATTATATCCTCTCCAACCTATTGAGAGGGCAAAGGAGATTTTTTTTTTTTTTTCCCATGAGGCAGATGTCAGTCAGGAGGAGAAGAATTTGCATTTGTAGCTGCCTGATATGAATGCTTGGTGTTGCTGAGTTGAGATCTTCCATTCACAATGACATATGGCCTGGCTACACTGACAGTACAATTGCCTGATGACTTGACCTCTTGATCCAGTCACTTCTGGACAGCCTTTTTCTTTCCTTTAAGACTCTGTACCTTTCTGTGTTGGTTTTTTTTTTTTTGTTTTTTTTTTTTTTTTCCCTCTTGAGATCCTTGAGCTGCTATTTACCATGTCTCAACAATTGTACCTCTGCCTGAAGTTTTGTCCTGCTTCTCTTTCTTGTAATTTAGCGATTAGTTGACATTATAGAATCACAGAATCACTTAGGTGGAAAAGATCATGCAGTCCAAGTTTTGACTGATCACCGCCTTGTCAACTAGACCAAGGCCACTCGTCCCTTGAACACCTCCAGGGACATTGATTACACCATCAGCTTGGGCAGCCAGTGCTTGACAGMCCTTTCCATGAAGAAAATCTGCCTGAATTTTGCATAAATTCCCGACTGTGCATTGGGTAGGCACATGTGTTGCACGATGTCCTTCTAAACATTAAATCTGGATTGTTTTTGGCTTTGTAGCCATTGGTGAGCCTGAGACCATAGACTGGTATAACCCACAAGGAGAGAAGATCGTGTCCAGTCAAAGAGTGGTCGTTCAGAAGGAAGGAGTCCGATCCCGACTGACCATTTACAATGCAAACATAGAGGATGCTGGCATTTATCGGTGCCAAGCCACCGAYGCTAAAGGACAAACTCAAGAAGCTACTGTAGTGCTGGAAATTTATCGTGAGTAAAATACTATTGATTGACAAATAAAAGACTGTGTTTTAAAAGCCACTAGCACAGAGAAAGTAGAGCCTCTCAAATTATCATCCCAAACTCTGAATTTTAGCTTCAAAATAATTGCACCTCCTGCAGTTTAGTTAATAGGTATTATGAMAAAGATTTAAATTAAATGGAGGGCCACTTATGAGTATTGTAGAGTGCTTTCCCCTGTATTTTAGAATTCAGTCTTATGAGAGTGCACTGTGTGTACCTTAAATGAGAAAATATGAGGAATAAAAAAAGGTCAACATAATTTGTATTCAAAATATGTGTACCATTTACAAATTACATAATATTGAAAACATGCACATGTGCAGAAAGCACAATAAATAAAATTTAAAGAGAAGAGGTTTTACTTTTAATGTCCATCTTTTGCTATTCTTGGCCTTACGAGGGAGTTTTTACATAAAGCATTGAAGCTTAGTGTGATAAGTTACCAAAATGCATTTCAATTGCAAGCAAATAATTGAAGAGTGTATTTGAAAAATAAATACATCCTATTGTAGTAAGAGATTATCTGAGAGATTGGAGATTTTTTTTTTTCTCAGTGTTGAATAACTTTACATTGTMCCATATTTTTCAAATCAGTCAAAAATGCCTAACAGCTGTACATTAAACAAGCACAGTGAATATTTTAGGCAAGGTCTTTGTTGGTGAAAGGATRGGACATATACCAGCAGGCCTTCAGCTGAGTTAAGATCTAATTTCACTGGAGAACAGTTTTTTTTAATGTGATGGAATTACAACAAGACAGAAAACATGGAGTAGAATGGTAAAGCACAGCTTCAGAGAGGTACAGATAATTCAGATAACAAAAGACATACTCAATTTTTTAAAAATCTTTTGATAAAACAACCAATAAACTGGTGATGGCAGTTAGAAGTGATTACATGATGGCTTGAAAGCTGGCAGTTCAAAGGATTTCAATTTTTTCTGGAATTCATTTGTATGCATAAAACTGCCAGTWACTCCATTAGCAGAGTGCTGAGCAAGGTGGAAGTCTTCAGAACCATTTGCATGTGTTAATTTTAATAATTCTGCAGTCAGACAAACCTGAAAATCTACACAAGAAATGACAAGGTTTGTGGGAACTGACATATAAAATTTCCTTATTCATATTTGTGATGTAAGAAAAAAAGTAGGATAACCTGTTGGTAGTCTTCTGGTATTTGTGAGGGGTTTTTTTCTGACTTCATACAAAAATGTATGAGAGGCGTAACAAAAAAACTGTGCTCCTTCTGCTATGGGAAATGAGTGGATTATTTGAGCCTGCACTGGTATCAATAAAAAAAAAAAAAAAAAAAAATGAAGCTGCATCTCTTCTTAAGATGCAGCTGGCTTAAGCTCCCCAAAAGTGTGCTCTGAAATGTAATTGGCCATCTTTGATCTGAGAGAACATAGGTTGGTTTGTTTATTCTGTGTGCAAGACATTCTTCCAGATTTTTTTTTGGTCAGTCAGTTGGTTTTTGCATTAGGTCTGACAAGACATCACAGATTAATGCCATCTTGGACTTCTAATCATGCTGAATTTATTCAACACATTTAGAAAATAAAATATTGCTTTGTTATTTGAGTTTGGAAAAATTAAAAGCATCAGCAAGCCTAAAACAATCTTGTCAGTTCCTAAAATAATGCTACTATTTCTTGTGACCTAATAGTCATAAAAGACTTAATGATTTCTCGCTGCCTTTTTAGATGTTATGTTTTACTCAGCTGCTGCTTTTTCTCAGTYGGTGAGGCAAAAATTCTACTTTTCTAGTGAGAATTTTCAAAATTTTAGTGTTTTTATGGAAGTTTTGTTAGAATGAAAATTTGAGGTTCTAATTCAATAACAATAAAGCACAAGAGAATAAATAAGCTATCAACCTGAATATATAAACTTCTAAGTTTCTAGAGTTTCAAAATTGGGTATTGGAACATTGAAAACAATGAAAATACATTTATAAAATATTATATATATATATATATATATATATATATATATATATATATATATATATTCTATTTATATATATATATAAATAAACCAAAAATTTTCATAATGTAAAATGATTGTAAAGTAATTTTTTGAGGCAGAGTGTAAGCCCAGGACCATTTGAGTCTTATGTGGGAAAATTACGTTATAGAAATAATTCTGTTTACATTATGATGAGGAGACTTAATAGTGATATTTATCTTATTTGGTGTCACATATCATTTTAATGCTAAGTTTAAGCTTCTGTTTTCTTTGTTTTTCTTTTTCAGAAAAGCTCACTTTTCGGGATATAGTATCTCCACAAGAGTTCAGGCAGGGYGAAGATGCAGAAGTTGTTTGCCGTGTTACGAGTTCTCCTGCTCCCGTTGTCAGCTGGTTGTACCGGAATGAGGAAGTCACAACTATTGCTGACAGTTAGTATTTTGGTAACTCTTTAAGTTATACATTCCAATTAATATTAAGACATTTTCGTATAAGAAGACTAATCACATGCAGTGGGGGATTTTGATTAGCCCATCATCTGCTGTAATTTAGCCAGGTTCTGTGATCTGTAGAGAATCCATGCACAATGGCTTCAACCATGTGTCTTATTTTTCGGTTGGGAATTTTGTCATGAGGCAAAATGAGTGTCCAAATGCCCAAAAGATTGCTGGGTGCTCCTGCACACAAACTGTTCCTGGTCTGCCTTGTCTTTGGGAGCTGAACACGTTTAAAACACACAGAGATGAAATTCATTGCACACAAAGCTGTGACACTGACCCTACACAGCATTGATTTTGGGATGTTTGCCCCATTGCACAGTGAATTCTGGGTGGAGAGGCATTTTGCATTGTTTTGAGAGTTTGTTTGTATCAAAGGTGGGTTACCCTGTGAGTTACAAGCACCTGGGATATCGATAATCTGCTTAGGCTGGGCCACTAAAGCCTGGGTTCAGATAAACCTCACCTTTCCCACAGGCAAATTCTAAGCCTGTCAAGGCAATTAATTAGCAAATAGAATTTCTTTGACTTAAGTCCGTAAAAACTCTGAATAATTTTTTTTTTTTCAGTGCTGTGTCAATAGTAATCTTTGTCTCTATGGAAAACAGGACTTTCTATATTTTCTGGTAATAGACCTAACATTGTTAATGAGCCAGCTTTTCTAACTTCCCATCAGTTTTCTATCTGCACGTAATGAAACTCAGTGTGCACTTAAAAATTTTATTCTTTCAAAATTAATAGTTCTGGGRTATTTTTCCAAATGAGAATGAAAATTTTGTTGGGTGTTTTATGAACTCAAATAAGCAAATATGGAGCATTATTTGGGGAGGGGGGGGGAAAGCTTGATTGAAATTTCYGGACTCAAGTTCCTCTCCATTGGGAAAGAAAGTTTTGCCTAAATTTCTTCTTATTTATACTGTATTTCTCCTTTCTTAGACACAGAGACTAAGAGGAAACAGGAAAGTTCTATGCATAGAAAAAAAATAGTTGAAATTTATTTACAAGTATATATGTACAATTAAACAGTGAATGTAGGTGAGACAGAAGATTTTCAAAAATAAGAACTCTGAAAATAAAACAAGAATTAGCAAACCAGGAAAAAGGCTTTTTCCAGCATGCTAGTCATGAACTGCTTGAAAAAGTAGAACTACCTCAAAGTTCTTGCTAAAAATTCTGTATTATTGCCCTTTTGGGTTTTTCATCCATCTGTAGGATTAGCAAAGGAGATGAAACAACATTTTCGTTTGTTCTTCAGAATCATGCACRTTGAAAATTGAGTTTTTAAAATATTAATTCACAAACTTGTATTTTTAAACCATTTTCTTTTACAATGCTAAAAGTACAATTATATAATCCAGTYTAAATTTAAATAGCAGGATGCATCCCTTATGTTCTGATCTAAAGCAGTATTCAAATACAATTCCAGTCATTGGAATTGTTTTTGGAGGGTGAGGTTTTAAATCACCAGCTTGGGAGGGTGAGGTTTTTAAATCACATCAATATAGGACTGAAATTGGTCGATTTTATTTACGTCTATAAGGATTTAAAATACATGTGAAAAAAACAACATGCCCACTGTCTTACAGTTAAGAATTTTTTTTCATACCCTGTGAAATAAAAAAGGCTTCTTTATATTACAATTCAGTTTCAAAATCTACAGTGGATGATCAAATTCTCTCTTATTCTGAAAGAYAATTTAAGACAATCTTCTAATGAGCCAGACTAACCCTCTAGATCTTATTGGGCAGGCTGTGGCAATCCAGTCCTGCGGTTTCCTCAGTGTAGCATAGTCTCTGAAAGTTAAAATTCCCACCTGAAGTCAGTAGTTTGCACAGTTCTAATTCCAGTAGTGCAGACATGGTGCCATTGCCCTGCTGAACCCAAGTGGGCCATTTAAATACATTCAAATTAACCAACATGCAAATGTGACTGCTTGCTTTGAGATGGTTAATGTGATGTGTTTATTTCATATTTAGRTGACACTGCAGTCCCTCTTGTAAAGAATGACTGGTTTGGTTGTGTGAGGAACAGGTTTAATAAAAGTTTTCAACTTTTTCTAAAAGTTTTGATATTTAATTCAACAGCTCTTTAAATCATATCTTGCTATTAGAATGTATAACTTTTTGCTGGGCATTGCGGCTCATAGCCTGGTATGTACACAGCAAAATTTACAAATCATAAGCTAACAATTCCTCTAGATCAGATTGTGTGGCACTGAAAAGACACAGACAGCCCTTCTTTYCATCCACACCATTTAACATGTGATCTGACTGAAGGGGAATGATGTGTGACTGACTGTTCTTCTAAATCAGGCATTTGAATTTGAGAGGGTTGAGTCCAGACACTACAGTGGTGAGCTGGAGGAGGATAATGCCCTATTACTGTGCAGATTCACCAACTCAAATCTGTTTAGTAAAAGGTTCAGTTTTTATCAGGATATCCATGGAACAGTGAAATTATGGTGTGCTCATGGGAATATCTACTGCTATATCCTTTTTTTTTTTTTCCCCAATGGAAGTTGAACAGTTATTCAGCCAACACTTTTTTTTTTTTTTTTTGTTTCCTGATACTAAGTGAACCCTCATTTTTTTCAATGTCTTATGGAAATGCAGATCACCTCCAGCCCTCTTGTTCACCTGACACATTAAATGTTTATGTTAAAAGAACCCCAGAGATTTACCAGTGATTAAAGGCTTAAAGAGAGGCAGGATCTCACCTTTTCAAAACATTTGGAAGCACAGTTCTATGGGAATTGTGTAGGAGCAGGCCAGGAAAATATGTTATAATTTGTATGTGGTGTGAAATGGCATTAATGTTCAACCATGACTTTAACAAACCAGACATAATCAGTGTATTTGGGTTGAGGATATTATTGTCCTGTAAACTTCTATCAGGTGAAGCATAATTTTTTTTTTTTTTCATTTCTTTCTTAATTTTATGATAGAATTCWTGCTACTGAAACAGAAGTCACTTGGTTGCTAGTTAAAACTGAAAGCTATTAAATCTCATCATCCTCCAATATTGCAAGTTGCAMATACATCAACAGCTGAATAAAAAGGGTTCAGGTTCTTCAAAACCCACATTCAGTGAACTGCAGGAAGTCATTCTCCTTGGAGGAGTCCATTACTATTGACTGCTTTTGGTGGGTTGACCTTGGTGAGTTTCCAGGCACCCACCCAGTCAACTCTCTCACTTAACTGTCCTCAAGAAAATGTGGTGGATGAACTTGGCTGGGTACCAGTGATACCAAAGCTGCTCTATCACCTCCTCTGCAGCTRGGCAGGGGAGAGAAAATATAATGAAAGGCTAATGGGTCAATATGAGGACAGGGAGAGATCACCTGCCAATTGCCATCATGAGCAAAACAGACTCAACTCAAGGTTATTAACCTAATTTATTACCAACATTATCAGAGTAGGATAGTGAAAAATAAAAACGAGTCTTAAAAATGTACCTTCCCCCTGTACCTCCTTTCTCCATGGGCTTAACTTTATTCCAAATGTTGTCTCTWCTTCTCCTTCCTCCTCAGGGGGAAGAYTCCTCMTASTCTTCCCCTGCTCTTGTGTGGGGAGACCTCCATGAACTTCAACAGTCATTCCCCCACACTAGAGCTCTTCAAGAAAAATGTTTTGACTGGGGGAAAATTAATTTAATTTATTGCCAGTTAAACAGTGTTGGATGGTGAAACACAAAGACAGAAATAAAACAATAGCTCCCCTCTCCTTTTTCCCAGTCTCAACTTTACTCTTTCATTGCTGACTCCTCTACCACACCCATACCAAGGAGTGCAGGGAGATTTGGGGCCTGTGGTCAGTCTGTAACATCTCCAATGCTGATCCTTTCTGTGGGTTGCAATTGTTGAGGATAAATTTGCTGTAGCATGGGWTCTTCCATGAATTACAAAGAGGATATCTGCTTCAACATGCTCTTTTTCCTGTGGTCAATGCTTCGACATGTAAACCTGGTACACCAGGTCAGGGAGAAAGGAGAGAAAAAAAAAATAATTCAGGTCCAGTTTACTCCTGCAGATTATAATTTTGCTGCAGCATCTGCAGGAAAGCATGTACATGCCTTTCAGAGTCTGATTTTAGAGTGTCCTTCAGCTCCTCAAAATGTCTATTGAATTTCAGTTTATGCTGGCCTTTATACATAATAGAGTGTATTTTTTTTTTAATTATGTCTTTGCACCCATTTCTGTGAAGTCTTAGAGGGTGGTGGAATACATCATTGACTAAGAGTGAATGAGGAACAGAGCAGGAGGAGGAAAGGAGGGCAAGGAAGATGAAAATCATTAAGCATTGGGATGTAGAATGGGCAAAAATACAGTTGATTAGTCTAGATAGGAAAGCAGCATTTTGTTGCTTATTTTATTGTAAATTGTTCAATTTAATTTTTGAGTCTTTTTTCACTCAACTTAATCTCTGTTATCTGTGTAAATGCTCATGAGTATTCCACTCATTTTGGAGTAAATTGTAATTTAACTTATATTGGAWTACTCCTTGGAGTAAGTAGGAAATTATGGATGGAAAATCCAGATTGAATTTTGGGAAATTCAATGTATTTTGGAATGAGGAAAAAACAGATTTATCAGCTGACATTTTGCTTTTAGAAGTGCAAATGTTTTGTCAACAAGCATTCAGATTGTACAGAGAAAGTACATAAATATTATTCATTTACGTTAGTGTTCTTCATGTTGTTTTGATTTACTAATGCCACTTAATCTCTTRTTTTCTTTTCTAGATCGATTTGCAGTACTAGCAAACAATAATCTCCAAATTCTTAACATCAATAAAAGTGATGAAGGAGTATACAGATGTGAAGGAAGAGTGGAAGCGAGAGGAGAAATTGACTTTCGGGACATAATTGTTATTGTGAATGGTAAGGAATAAAGTTGGTGAATTGACTTCTTGTTTTGTTTGATGATTATGGCCTATTTTAACATATATCACTTTCTAAAAAGTTCTTACAAATTTGTTAGTATAATTGTCATGCCTGTTTAGTATTGGTTTCCTGTAAGTGTGATTGCTTAATATTGAAAAAGAAATCTACTATACTATGCAAATAGAATCAATTACATTTCATAGTGTCAGCAAAYACGAATATGTAAAGTATAAGTATGGTCATTATTATTAATAATTTACAGAACAATAATTATTTCAAGACTTGAGTTTCACATTATAGTAGTACTGTTCACTCTGTTTCTCAGTGTTTTGTCATTTACTATTAAAAAAACTTGATTTTTTGTAATTATTAATTTTCACTGTGTTAATGTACTTTATGAGCTGTCCTAAAAGTCACATGTATATTTTATTTACAGTCTAAGTTATAGATTTTTTCAGATTTTATTTTTTGTGAGGAATAAAGTATGTGAGAAGCTACCTGAAAATTTGCATTATACATTTCAGTAGTTTATRATAAACCTCTAAGAAGGAAAATTAATGAATTGAGACAAGATGGAGCATTTAACTCAAGCTCCCTTAAACTCAGCATTGACCTGTTRAAAGATAACTATCTCTTCATATATTGTCAGGAAAGGACACAGTTCATAAAAGGGCATTTTTTATCTCTGCAGTCTGTTTAATGTCAGCTTTTCAGTGAATTTCTTCCACAGTTCCTATTAGTTTTGGAGCTTTAAATGTTTTGCCCTTGACTGGTCCTTCTCAGCAAACCTGGTTTACATGTCATTATGGAAGGTGAATTCTCAGTTAGTTTCAGGAGAAAGAGCAGATTTTGGCACAGGTGTTGCTTTGTCCACGTAGTCAAGCAGGAATGTCTGATAGTTGGATTTTCTGGRTTGTTGTAGGTGGTGCATTCTGGTGCTGCATTGCCACGACTCCTGGTTTTATACAATTCCAACAGTGCATCTGGTAGCATTTAAAATGTTGAAGGAGGTTTCCTTCTGCTGCTATTTCTGCACATAGATATGAATCCACTTTCTGGTTACCTTTCATTTCTGTTTGGTATTTATAAGCATTTAAGCTGAGACAGTCTGGATTTAACCTGAAACATTAGGTTGCAAACCATGGTCTGATTTCACATCATTTATTTCTGCATTATAAAAACAAATTTGGTTCTTCATACATTTATTATGACTCTAGGCAAGAATGTTAACACTCATCTCTAAACATTAGTCTTGGGAAGAGAAGGAGCTGCCAAATAAATGATTATGACATGGTTGGTCATGTAGAGTGGCATCAATTAAGAGCTATTTTCTGCTTCATTTGTGGTAATAAATAGGTTTGCCTACATAAAGTTGAATGTATAAAGCTTGGTCCAAAATAGCTTTAAAATTAATATTAAAATTTAGAAAAAAAGAAAAATTGTAGTATTCTTTGGTTAAAATAAAAGTGTACAAATGAACTGGATTCAAAAAAAGAAAAAGATAAAAACAAAAAGGCCACCAAAGCCACATGGCTATATTTCCACTGCATCTCCTTTTCCAAAAAAAAAAAAAAAAAAAAAATGGTTTGGAGGATAATCTAAGTTTGATATAAAAAGAAAATGTTATCATGAAAGTACTTGTATGTAGAAGTTATTCATATTTAGAGCTTTACTGTTTATTTGCTCATCTTGTAATAGTGACTGTAGAATCTAAAGAAATATGAAATATCTACACAAACACATAGTAAAAATCACAGRATAAGTTGAGTTGGAAGAGACCCACAAGGATCATTGAGTCCAACATAAAAAAGTTATCCCGGTTTCAATTARCCAGGATAGAAATATGCAAGGACTCCAGAGAAGGATAAACTGTGACTTAAGAACATACAGATACTTTAGGAAAKCTGGCATGCCATGTTAATTACAGTGGTTATTTAAAGAAAATAAAATAAAAAAAAATAAAGTTTCTGTTTGAACAGAATGAAAATTTACTAAAAAATAATTTAAAGTAAATCTTGAAACAAAGTTTGATATCAGGGTAGTAGCTAATATATGGAAATCTCCAGAGGGTTATAATGGGTAATAAATTGATTGGATTATCTCTTAGAAATTTAATATTTATATTTCTTTTCTACTTGAAACACTGACATTTTTACAGCATTTCTTTTCTACAGGTATTTACAGTGAGGTATAAATATCCAGCTTTTCTTTGATTACAAGTGGTTCACAAAGAAGAAAAGGAAAGAATTCAAGTCCTCCTGTAAACAAAAGTTTCTTTTGCTTGTTCTTCTGTCTCTATTTATTTTTCCCCCCACTCTTTATTTTTTAAATTATTTTCCTCTAGCGTACGTCTTAGATTTATTTCTTCACTGTCTGGGAAGTTGCATAAATGAAATGATCTCACTGAATTTAATGAAAGAGAACTGTTTACATTTATGCAGGACTGAATTTTGCCACTTGGCTTTACGTGTGAAATGTGAGAGAATTGCAGTGAGTCTACATTTCTGTTTTCCTCTTGTAGGTGGTAGTTTAGTTCCAGCCTACATACATACAAGAATAAAAACAGATTATTCCTTGAAATAATGATGAGAAAAATAGAATTTTACTTTTGAAAAGAGAAAATAATATTTGATTTAAGTGTCATTGYAGTATTTTTTGGAAGATTGAAGCACTTAAGTAATGTGTAGAACCAAGTCATAGTCTGTAGTTCTTGGTGGTGAAAAGCAAAGAACCTGCTACTTCTAGCAAATTATCTCCTCATGTTCCCAACTATATTACGAGGTCTAAGCATTAAAATGCACTGCAAAATAGCTGAAATGCATTAAAGGCTTTCTAAACAGCTTCTTTATTGGAGATGGATAAATTGCTGTTGCACAGCAGAAGTGTTTTGTATGCTGTGTAATGGCCCATGCAATTTCAGATAGGAAAGAAGTGGTCTGTGAAACACAATAAAACACACCATTAAAAAGTGTGAAAAGTACATAACAACACAGAATTACTGGTCATTGATAATTCTGGTACATGATTTTATATTTTATATATTCAAGGTTCAGAAGTTGAAAGGCTTCTGAAATACTTGGTGCAAAACCACAGAAGTTGATTATCAACAGTGGGTGAGAAGAATCTGGTGGAGTGCAATGGAACACTAAAAGCAAGATCATTGGGGTTTCCTGTTTCATCTTTTCCCTAGTGAACAGTAAAGCTAAAAAGGAGTAACTGAGTCGCTCTGGCATCTCACAGCATGTTCTTGTTAGCTGACACCAATTTTTTGTGAATCTTGAATCTTTTCCTTTTCCTCTAACTTTCTGTGGTGTTCCTTCCTTTTCACATATCAACTTCCATCCAWTCTGCCTGGATCATTTTTAGTTGTGTATTTCATAGACTCATAGAATTGTTTGGGGTGGAAGGATCTTAACAAGAATCCAGTTCCAGCCCCTGCCATGGGCAGGGACAMCTTTCAYTAGACCCAGTTGCTCAGATCTCCATTTRCTCTGGCCTTGAATACTTCATATTTGCTTGTTAGTTAATGGAAGCAGACATGTAAACAGATATGTTAAATAYCAGCCTGTGGGTTGTGCTGTCTCAAATATTATTTCCGTCAGGTAGAAGTCCTTTGCAAACTGTTATGATTTTAGTAATAACYTGATCCCATCGAGAAAAGAAAACATTTGTCACTCTTAGAACAAAATTAAATTATTGGAAATACAAATARATTTTATCCATTAGGTTCTATCACATTTTCCCTTTGGAAGATGTTGATATTCCTGGACGAAAAATATGCAGGAGTTCAGTAAAAATAATTAAATATGCATAATCAAGTCTCCTGTGTACTGATCCATCTTTTAAAAACACAATCTAACATCAGTATGTGCTTTTATGTCTTAGGTCTTTATTGTCCTATACATGTTAGGTATAATTCAGTCATCTTAGAATGTTCTGTAAGAAAATGGACGAACTGCTGAAAAAGACTTTAAAAAATTTTTGTATTAAAAAAAAAATAGTTATAAATGTCCTGATATATGAAAAGTTTTTTATTTAAGAAAAGAAATACTAGTAACAATGATTCACTTTGCAACTTGATCCCTAATTGTAACCCTAAATTCCCAGATTAGCAGAGGATCCTGTACTGCATTTTAAATTTCTCCAGAAGCACATAAAAGATTGTATTTTTTGTTCATAGGACATATTTTATTTTTCAGTTCCTCCTGCAATCATTCTGCTGCAGAAATCCTTCAATGCCACAGCAGATCGAGGAGAGGCAATAACTTTGTTCTGCAGAGCYATGGGATCACCTCTGCCGGAGATCAGTTGGTACAGGTGAGTTCAGTCGAGGTCTCATCTGAGCACTTTGTTTTAATGTGTCGTGATTTTTTATCACAGTCCATTAAGCTGCGCAACTTTAATTTCTCTTCTGAATTTTAAGAGAATTTTCTGTCCATTTCTATTCTAACAGCTAAGGCTGGATTAAGCATTAATAAGTGAATGGACTYGCACAAATTCAATTGCACTCAGGTTGCTAGCAAGTGAGATAAATGTAAAAAGTAACAAAATTCCATATTGTCATGATTTCTTCGTATGTGAGTGGAGAAAAAATGAGTCCATATCTCAAAAACAGTATAAGAACTATCTAACAAAACTTTTTGCACATAAATGCCTCAGATATGCATTTATGCAATAAATATGTATCCAGTACAAGTCAGCAATACTAATAAAAAAAGATAACACTTTCCACATCTGTAAAAATAGATTCTAACCTTAACTCTCCAATTCAATGAGATTCAGAAGGAGGTATGAATTTAGACACTTGTAGGGSCCAGGAATGTTTCATTGAATAAGTTTCAGTGTAAATTAATGTAATTTTAAAGTATAAAATGCTTTGAAAATGGAATTGCTTTCAAATCTCATGTGTGKTTTTTTTCATTATACCAATGACATGAGTGTAGAATAGCTGTGCCACTTGGGAACACTTACCATATAACATTTGTAAAAATTTAAATATCTATATACTCTGTGTTCTTTCAATTTGAACAAAGATATGCATCARTCCTGGGATATAAAGTATCTCAATACCTCATACCAGTGCACATTTCTATTTTAGACCTGAATAATTTGCATCTGCTTATATTATTTCAAGTGAATTAAAAGGTCATCCCATTTTCAAAATGGGCATAGAAGTGATTTCCATCAATTCTACATCTCCTTTGGAACCTTGGAAAAATGTTAATTCAAGGTTCCCTTCCTCTGRCTGACACCTTCATCTTCATAAGTCATAGGTCAATTGTGATGTTTAATTTTTCTSTTGTGCAATTTGAATCCCAGGAGATGGAAATAAAAAGAATGCAAAGTTAATTCCTTAATGTGACTTAGAATTCAAAATTTAGTGAAGAGGAAGAAAAATAAAATCAAAATAKGTACAGCCCAAATTAAAGAACTGATACCAAATTCAAATCACACTCTGTTTCTTTGATGTCRTTGCAGTAATTTTTCAAATGTCTCTCCTGTCTGACCAAAATTAAGAGCCTGAAATCTGCTCTCCTAAATGGTTTTGGTGTAAGACAAGAAACTTTATGGCATATATTAAGAACAAATGCATAAATTTCCAACATTTGTGGGTATCTCTGTCAACAGYTGTGGCATTTTTTTTCAATGTTTTGTAAATATTATAGTACATACACAGTCCAAATGTCTTCAAAAAACACTTATCTTTRTGTCCATTGATCAGAACCCACTGAAGGATTTTCCTTTGGTTTGACAGCCCTTCAGGAGCTGGCTTTTTTGATKAGTTTTAAACCACTCATAAAACACCTTTTGTAAAGATTTGACAGAAGTTTTAAAAGCTTGTGGACTGGATATTGAACCATGCATGTGCAAACWTCTGTTCTTCCTTCAGGAACTATCTAGTAATGAGGAATATTGGCTTATGTGCCTCCCTTTCCTTTTGATTTCTCCCGTTCTTTCATTCTTTTTGAATTTTGTCTGATTAGGCCAAAAATTCTTGTCAATAGAAAATATTTTTTTTTATTTGCTGACACCAACAGTTTATAACGTGATACAGTAAAAAAAAAAMAAAAAAAAAAMCACTATCCCTGTTACAGGATATTATTATTGATATGCAAACAGGGAAATAATTGGGGAAAGAAAAATCCTTGTTTTTATGAGTAGGCAAACAATTATAAATGGTATTCCAGTCCAAAATTTCTGCATTAAATTTCTGAAATCTCTGCCTGAAATTTTCAGGTCCATTTTCACTCATTTAGCCAATTAAAAGCAAAAATTTAAGTCGGTACTAACCTCAGTTTTATGTGTTCCTCTTTTAATGAACAAGTGGAATTATGTCTTGAATTYGATAAAGTTTTAATAGTGATTTTGGAAGGAATATGATCTTTGGTTACATTAAGTTAAGGGAATAGCATTCAGTTTTACACACAAACGTACTTTTTATCAGTGTGATTTTAGTAATTTTATTTAATTTGTCTCAGATTAACCATTTGTAAATTGGGCATGTGTAATAAAGTGACTTAATGGAAGGCTGTTTTCTGAATTCTCTGAATAGCCATGTATGGCTAATGGCCTCAGAGAGATGATTTTAGATAGTMAAACAGAAAATAATCACAATGTTTCCTGCTGTCACATTGCAAAACTTTCTAAAGTATCAGTGTCCTGGAGACCTGTGGAAAAGTACTGAGAAAAAGGGTGGAAATGATTTTTTTACTCCATTCTGCTACAGGATTTTTAACTTCATGGTATAAAAGGTATATCTATGCCTRTTCTGGTGGTTCATCAAGATTAAGGACTTGTTTCATACACATTTCCATGKTCTTGTGCCTTTATTTGACTTTCCAAATGGGCTCTCACACCAATTATTCATTTATTTAGTCCACTGAAGTTTCTTGATCAAGGCGTGCAGAATCTGGATTTATTCAAAGGCAGTCTTACTGTCCACTGATATTTTAGTCAATTCATAAGTAAATTATCATTATTTTTATTACTCTTGTTTCCTTTTTTGTTTCCAGTGGACTGATTTTAATGGATCAACTTCCACTAGGCCGTGAAAAATATCTGTATTTTTAAATCAGATTACACCACTATTGAAGGGACTCATATCTCTGTGTATTATTTGTAAGCAAGATGCTGGACAAAACAACAGTCTCAAGCTTTTAGCTCTTTAGGACAGTAGCTAATGTGGTGAAGCTTGAACTGTTCATTTACACCCTTTTTATTTCCAGGAGCTGATGATATTTAAGATTTGATCAATTTGATATGGATGCATCTGGACTTGCGGCAATTTTTCTCAAAAAATGCTTTAGTTCACTTATAAAAGTTAGTCAGTTTGAAATACCTTGTCAAGAAGAAAAGTCATCAAAGTTTAGCTCCTACTCTATTTAATTCCTACATATAGTTAATATTTCATGGACTGAGAGAATGTAATTTAACAGATATCTCTGCTGAAGCCGATATTACATTAATGTAAGGCATAACATTCAGAGAAGCAATACACTAATGTAATTAAGTGAGCCAGGACTGAAAGATAAAGAGCCTAATGCAGCTACAGGTCATGAACTGGAAATCTTTACTCATGTGAATAGTCCTACTGCAAACATTGTTTACAGCTGTGGAGATAATTTGCACTGCTCAAGTTTAGCTGGATCAATTTCCTCGTCTTTGCTGACAGGACTTAGAATTACCTTACAAAAGAAATAATCCACTTCAAGTATTTTATTCATGTTTTTCTGTTATCCAATATCAGCAACAAAATGCTCATAATCTCATTTTGGCTGTGAAACTGCCATAGATATCAATGATGTTTGTGGAAATAGGTACCTGGAAATTACTTGTAACCTTGACTATAGACTTYTGTCTCCTGAAAGAAATCACTCGGGGCAGGTTTTGGTTGTTTGGGATTTTTGTTTGTTTGTTATTATGTGGTGTTGGTGGGGTTTTGTTCTGCTTTTGGTTTGGTTTGGTTTTGGTTTCCGTGAGACCACCTAATGTGGAATATTAGACCTTTCCTRTTCTATAAAATAATTTCTGTGATTTCCTTGGGAAAGGAAATGAACGTATCATAATCATRTCTTGAAGTTGGCAACCCAGTGGACTAGGGTATTTGTAAAACAATGTTACTAAAATGCAAACTGTGTGGATATCAGGGGACTCCTACTAACAGCTATTCATACCCCCAAGAAATAAGCAGCATCCTCACTTTTAGATAAAATATGATTTAGGGAAAAGATGAAATATATGTAATTATCATTATATGAGAATAAAATAAAAATCATTGTTGGTCAAATCTTAAAATAAAATTAGGCCTATTGCATAGAATAGAATATTTGAGTAGTGTCCTCTTGAAAAAGCAGCTGTGTGTAGGCCAAGGTGCTCAAATGGACCGGTCAAGCTTCAATCAGCCCTCAGAATTGCTTTCAGATTTTATTATTTCTGTACCATCTGGTCAGAACTTGTTCTAACATCTGGAGGCATGCCTGCTTGCTAAGTTGTGGCTAGCCAACAACAACTGAGAGAAAATAATTTGGATGGGTTCTTGATGTGCCAATAGTGTCTACGTGAATTTAATTTAATTTTTTTATAACTTGCTGCATTGCTACTACTGTGAACTGCAGCAGTTACACTTGAAAAATACGCTTTTAATTGTTTCTCACATAAAATATATAACAAATGTCCTTATGTCCTTGCTTGAGTGTAAACCATATGTCAGAGTCCTATTTACAAACATTATTCTAATATTAGGTCAACACTGAATATTTAAGATTAAAGTTATTATAGTATTTTTAATACATATATATTTTTTATAACCTGACAATAAAATCGTGSAGCTGGGGTTTTGAAAATCAGAATGCAGTTCAGAATGTGTTGCTTGTGTTTAGAAAATGCACATTCTTGTGGTAAAATACTGATCCTGAATATCAATTTTTGCCATGCTAAATTCAACTCCCTTCTCTACACACTGTCAGCTCATGCTATGTGAGTTAATGCATATTTGAGGTTGGCAGCATAATACCTTCTCAGTCTCTTCCTGCAAATATTATTTCCCCCAAATATCATTATATATTAATTCTTCCATAGCACATTGTTTCAGATACTGGAACCTACTGGTTGATTTAGACATATTTTCTTTTTATTTTTATTTATTTTTTTTTTCCTAGGAATGGTAAACTTATTGAAGAAAATGAAAAATATGTGCTGAGAGGAAGCAATACACAACTAACAATAAGAGACATAAAAAATATCGATGCAGGTCCTTATTTTTGTAATGCTAAAAACAAAGCAGGAAATGACAAAAAGCAGACATTCCTTCAAGTTTTTGGTAAGTACTGCATAATGTGGTCCATCTTTCCTTTTAAAATGTAAACAGTAAGGAAATGAGGTGTTAATTCACAATTTTCATTGGAATGGTGTTCCTGCAAGGTGCCTACTGATGCAGCAAAGCACTTTCTGTGTAATTTTACAATTCCTTTCCTCCCTGTTGGCTACTTAAACCTTTACACCTGAATTTCATTTTGAAAAGGTTATCATCAGCATTTGTTCTTCTACTATTCACATACAGTATAATGGAGTGTTAAGTTTTTAATTCAATCTGTTTTCCATTTAGAATTTGACTCATTGCAAGAAAACCAAGAGGAGAAAGGGGSAAGTTCTGAAAAGGGGAAAAGCAGGTTATTTTGACTTCTAAGCGTTTAAAGTTTTTAATAAGGAAATAACATGCAGGGATCTTCCTGATTTTTTTAATTTGTTTTTTCTTGATTGACTTCTGGTTTTTAGCACATGATTGATGTAGTCACAAAAATATTGTCTGTCCTGAGCTTCAAAGGAGAAAAGGAGTAACCTCAAAACTCTTGTTTCTTTCTATTCTCCACTACCCAATTTGTGTTAATGATTCTCTCCTTTACATAGAACTGATAATTTATTTGAAGTTTTGTTGAGGTATAACCTAGTGAGGGCAGGCATTTGTGAGAATGTGGAAAACATCCCTCAGAATCACTGTGCAGGAAAAAGTCTGTAGCTCACTTGTGAAAAACCTACGGAAAATGAATGTATAGGGGTTTTTTACATTAAATATAGCTTGTAGTAAAGAGGAAGATATTTCTATATGATCAGTTAAATGACATATTTAGGACAGGGGAAATTAACTGCCCAGTCAAAAAAAAAAGAAAAAAAAAAAAGAATGTTTCATTCCTGGCTAAAACTAGTAATAATTTATACAAAGTTAAAGAGTTCTAATGTGAGAGAAGAATCTGATATTTTACCTTGAAGAGTTTCGCTGTTGGAATATATAATGGTGGCTTTTAGAGTATGGGAGCCTGAGGCTGAAGCCATGGTGCCAGGTGAGTATTATTTGGCTGTGTCCACATGCAATCCCCTGTGTTTCCTATCTGAAAAAAGCTTTTTGCTGTGCTGTCTCCAGCCCTGCGCTCCAGGTGGGTTACCCAACCACTGGACTGTTGTCGTTCTGAGGTACTTGAGAGTTATTCTCATTTGCTTTTCAAAGGAAAGAAGATGCAGTAAAATCTTAAATTTCATCCCAGACTCAAGAAGTACAGCATCTTGTTCTGGAAAGCCAAAATATTTCATTCAGTTGTGTTTCCAAACTTAAAAAAAAAAGAAGGAATACAAATTACTTTCTCATTTTGTTATGAATTTAGGGCAATTTCAGTCAGAAATAATTGTGTGTGTGTGTTTAAAGTCATTTTAAATGTGGCTGACATATACTTAGTTTTTGCTTAGAGCAAGGAAAATTTTGATGAAAGGGGTAGGGAAAAGGAGACACCAGACTTAGTGGGAGGATTTCCTGTGTACATTTTTTTCACCTTTTAGCAACCATGTTTCTGGGGACTCCACGGAAAGCTAAATCCTAATGTTTTAATAGATATTATGGGTTGGTTTAATTAATTTTAAATCTACACATCCTTTATGGTTCCATGACATCCTAAACTCCTAAATTTCTTACATAATTTTTTCTTGCAGGGAAAATTGTTCCTTATGTTTCAGTTTSCACAGGACTCTCTGAAGTGTTTCCCACATCTCTTTCCSAAGTGGTTATAGCTAATTTAGAGTKGAACSGGGTTTTAATTTCTCCTACAATAAACTTTACTTTTGTCTCTTTCACATAGGTTAAATCCCCATTCATATATGTAGCCAACAACTTATTACACTTTTCTTCCCATTAAATGTGTTAAAAAAGCTGCAGTCTGGATAATGGCAAGGCAGATGGCTGGTTATTTTAGCTAAATAGTACACAAATAACTAGTTTATGTTAAATTGACCCATTAAATTGTATTTTTCTTTCCCACTTCATTAGCTTACTTGTCTCACAYGTCTGCTATCTTTAATTTTAATTTACAATGCAAACTCCTTGGGGCAACAACTACTGTTGCTACAACAGGGCTCTGGCAGGGTTGAAACTTGTAATAACAGTAATATAACCATAATGCAATAAAAATAATAGTAACATTGTAGAATTCAGCACTTAAAATTTCTAGAATTCAGCACTTTTGAATAGACATACTCATTTTAATGCCATGTGACAGATACATATTTAGTTTCCATGTGTGGCCTAGATTCTTTGGTTTAACTT